AAATAAAAATAACTACTTAGCGTTGTTGGTTTGTTACTCGTAACTTATTACTTGATTTATTACCCGTTTTCTACTTTTAAACAAAAAAATCTCTAAATTATAATCAAATTACTTATTTATAAAAGAAATGAATTAAGTGATATATTATAAAAATATTTTAGAGTTTTCTTTTAATTTTATAATCATATATCGATTTAAAACATATGTATAACTAACTAAATTTTTCTTAAATTCATATACAAGGTTTTAGTAGCAAAAATTAACAAACTATTATTAAATAATTTATAAATAATTATATAATCATTAATAAATTAGTTTAGAAGCAACAAGTAGTAAAAAAAGCAAGTACTTGCAAGTATATCATTTTTAACAAATACTTGAAAGTGCAAATACTTGTTTTTAATATATCAAGTATATGTCCAAAATTTTACTACTCGAACAAGTCAAACCAAGACCAAGTACGCTAAAATAGCAAGTACTTGGCTTGTACCCGCCCCTAACCATTAGTAAGTGTGAGAAATCAAGAACAATCATACTACTTATCAACAGTTTGATTTTTTCAGTGGGTCGGCTATACAATATACTAATTAATTAAGTCCTGATTCTCTGTTTTTGAGCACAATATATCCGAACTCCTAAGATTCCCACTTTAGCCATGCCTATCTTCATAGTTAGACTTCCATGGCTCACTATCTAATGATTGAATTTGTGATCTTACCCATTTTTCGTTCGTTTTGATCCATTGACTCTTTTTCAGTCTACCCAATATTCGTCTTGGGAATATTATATTGGACGTCCACATTTGTATTATAGCTCACTTTATGCCAAACGATAAGCACCAAACAAAGAGGATTTGGTATAAAATAGCACTTTCAATTATTTCTTTCTTGTTATTCTGATACCGCTGTGTTTTCCACATCTCCATTGCAACTCTACGTGTTCCCATATATGTTTTCATTGGGATTTTATTTCTGCTCCTTAGTTTACTTTTTTAATCTCAGTCTTAAAAGTTTAAAACTCAGATGTGTACCCATATTAATCATGAGTTTGATTTTTCATAAAAACTAAATTATTATTACTTGATCAATTTAAACTTTGGATTCGGTTCTGTTAATTAATACAGTGGACCGTAGACGATTAGTAATGGGAAGTTATTTCAAACTTATATCAGTCAATATGATATGCTTTGGGACTAATCCACTTTGTAGTAATAGGTATGATTCTTCCAAAACCAATTGAATAAGCCAATAAAATTTATAAAAAAAGTTTAAAACTCTTTATATACGTTTTTTGTTGATCAATAAATTTAATATTTCAGCGAAATTTTTTATTAAAGAAGCCAACACTGAAAATCCATTTTACTATTTTGTCTATACCTCAATATACTCACGACATTTAGAGGATTGAACTTACAATATAGTAAATTATGTAAGAAATGACCACTTCAATATTAACAAAAGAAAACTACTTCAACTTGTTCTGTCCACTAAACATCATATTAAAAATATACTTTTTCCTTATCTATATTGATATACTATAGACTTTACTTTTTTTCATTTATGGTATATGTCTTATTTATATATTATTATATGAGTTTTGGAGTATATTTCAGAGTATTTTCAGGATCAGATATGTTTTGGAGAACTTTAGTGATTCTAGACATTTTGAGGTGCATAACTGCACATATGCGTCATATGTTTAGCTATGGATGGAGACTTTCCCATGGTTAGTTTGTGCTGATATTTTGATACAAGATAGAGCTTTGAGTTAGTTTTCCAATTCCACCAGTTTGAAGTCAATCAGCATTTTGTAGCAGAAGTTGTGCCCATTGTACTGACAAGTGGTCTGTCTGCCTCGCGAGATGAAGCTGCCAAAGAGCGAATGATCATTGATGATGGAACAGCCTTGGTGTCGATTGATGGTGATCCCAGAATATGACCCGAGTATATTTCAAGACCGACTAAAGCCCAGAAGCTATCACAAATTACCAGAATACCCTTGGTCGACTTTAAACCCTATTTATGTGTTCTCTAAGCCATTGTTGACGGCTATGCTTTCTTTACATCATTATTCCTTTTTAGGGTTATTTATTGGAAATCCTTTGGTTTTATCTTTGATTTCTATTCTATATTTATTCAGAGACTATGTTTTGTGTTTATTCTATCATGTCTGAGTAATCATCCTGTTAGATTTAGGGATTTCATGAGCTTAATGTCGAACTGAATTTGTTAGGATTTCTAGGGTTGTTTATTGAACTCTACACCAGGGTAGCTTGTAATACTAGGATCTGAAATAGTTAGAAAATCACGAGAGTGTGACTGATTGTTTGAACTTAGAATTATAGGACAATTGGGAGACACGCAAGTGCAATCAATTAACATAACTCGAACACTCATGGATTAGATATCTAAGCACATACGATAGTTGGTCTAATGTTTAATTGAACATAATCGATTAGGTCGTTAACGCTTGTTTAAAGTAGCCTGACCATCGATCGATTCTCGCTCTTTGTTCGCAAGTGAGAGGTGGAACATATGATTCAGACATCTGATTAGTAATTGCATCCCAAGCTGGATTACTTAATTATTAAAATCGAGTTCTAGAACTGAATCTATAAAACCTTTATCATCCTTTAACCCTGATATCTGATATGCCATGGATTTTACAAAATTTCAACCATCGTATATAAGTGTTTTATGATCTAATTATTATGTTTTAGAGTATATATAGCAAATTTATAGGTTCATAAGTGATTTAGAAGAAAGTGATGATTTTGGAGTCCTTTTGGAGATAAGAAGAGTCTCATCCGAGCTGACCATTGAGCAGACTGAAAGGTCGACATTTAGAGATCATGATCGATCGATGCACATCTCGTGACATCGATCTATGGGCATAAAACGCAGAGACACGATTTTGTCCAGATGGTTTGAAATCCAAGTGTTACTAAATTACAATATCACCCCTGATGAGTTCTAACCTATTAATAGATTTTCCAAGTGTTGCCGACAAAGTGTGGTTTTTCATATTCTTGTTTTCATACCTAAACTAGTTATAGAGAGAGTTGGAGAGAAGATTCAAGACTTTTACAAGCTTGTGACTGGAACTCCATTGTTATATATATTCTACTATGCAGTTTTCTTATCTTATTATTATTATGAATTGTTTTGCTATACTGAGTAGTTCTATTGTAAGATTCAGGGTTTAAATATGTTATGAGTGATTAGCCCCAACTATAGTATTATTAAATTGTGGTATTCATCAATATGATTGATCTTAATGCTTGCGTTCTAGAGTAGCTAAATAGAATCCCGATGTTAAAATGATTAGATACAATGTGACTGCTTGGTATGCCATCTGAACTAGTCTTAATTAAATTAGGATTGCTAGAAAAGGAGACAGCTGATCTTGGAACCTAGTGAGTAGTTAATCAACCCGCACATAAATCTTGGATAGAAGCCGATCGATCGATATTTATATTAAACAATTGATCGACGCTTGCGAAAGGTGTATTAATCATATAGAGTCATCGATCGATACTTTCTATTGGTCAACATGCGACAGCTGAGACCAGTAAATCTAGTCAATAGACGGTCTAAAAAGTGACACGCTGATTGGACTGTACTTTAGTTGAGCTCTAATATATCCTCTAACTTAGCACCTATATCTCTATAATCATGACTACTTGAATAGAAACCCTAAGTCTAGCTACTTTCTAATATCGATACAAACCCACTTCAAACCCACTTCAAACCAACCGAACAACTACCTTGTTCAACACTGTTTTCTAATTTAAACACTTTCGACCTAGCTTAATCATCCTGATTAGATCTATTTCGTACCCTAGCTCCTTGTGGATTTGATCCCTAAGTACTACCACTGAACCTCTTATTTGAGAGAGTGATTCATTCCTTAGGTTAATTTGAGTGATATCAAATTTGGCGCCATTCCCTGAAAGTTTTAACCACCATTAGATTTAGAGAAATTACTTGGAATGACCCAAATTGATTTCAAAATGACTATAATGACTCATATAAAAATATTAATATTAGACCCCATTTTATAACAATCATTTAGACTAAAACATCCTTCTAATGTGAAAAAAAGTTTAGGAGAAAAAAAAGTTAATAAACATAAAAGACAAAATGAAATTGAACATAAAAGAAAAAAAATGGGATAAAAAAGGGTGTCGGGTCTCTCTCTTTTTCTTGCACGACAACGACATTTTCGAAGGGGGGGATTCTCCGATCGAGTCTCGCCGTCGTTCCTCTCACTCCGACACCATCGTCTCCATCAGAAGACCACCTCGTTGTCTTCGTCTCTTACCTCACATCTCCTCCGTCGCATCTCCTCCGTTGCATCTCCTACGAAACCTCCTTTCCAATTCGTGTTGATATTGAAAAATTGAACCTGTAAGTGACAAATCTATATATTTTAGAGTTGTTTCTACACGTTTCTAACTTGATTATTGCTTAATTTCATGTTTGATTTCGAAAACCCTAAATCCCAATTTTTCGAAATCCCTAAATCCCAAATTTTCACAACCCTAAATCCCAATTTTAAAGTTGTTTCTACACGTTTCTAACTTGATTATTGCTTAATTTCATGTTTGATTTCGAAAACCCTAAATCCCAATTTTACGAAATCCCTAAATCCCAAATTTTGAAAACCCTAAATCCCAATTTTAAATTGTTTCTACACGTTTCTAACTAAATTATTGCTTGATTTCATGTTTGATTTCAAAAACCCTAATTCCCAATTTTCGAAATCCCTTAATCCCAAATTTTGAAAACCCTAAATCCCAATTTCACTCATAAGATACTGTTTATTTCATGTTATTGATTTTGAAAATTTCTAGACTCTAATTCATAATTCCTTCATCACCGTCTCATGTTGAACAAGAGTTTAAGTTATTAATTTTTTTTGTTTCTGCTATGCGATTTGTTTTTTTTCACTGTTTGTAAACCATATAAATAACATGTTAAGTGCTTTATGTTTTAGGTATGGCATCTTCTTCTGGTATGAGGAAGTATCCTCCACGTCTATACGAGGTTGGGAAAACCCTGATTCAAGGTAGGAGCATGAACCATAGTTGTTTTCTGGCCAACCTTCAAACGATTAAAGAAGCTGTTGGGGAAGAAGTGTGGTCTGAGTTGAGGGAATCTGCTATTGGAGTCATTGTTAAGCTGAAGGAGATGGAATACATTTGGTCTGCGAAAGCTGTTCATTACTTCCTTGCCAATCAACTAGCCATCGACAGCAGGCATGAGACTTGGTCATTGATAGATGTTATGCCCTTACGGTTCTCCTTATATGAGTTTGGAGAGATTATAGGTCTAAACTGTGATCCTTTCGACAAGCATGACGTGTGGGATGTGGATCATCGAGAGTTTTGGTTGGAGATGAAGGTTCCAACATTATACGGACCTACATTGAAAGAGCTACAAAAAGTATTTCGAATTTGTAGAATCTGGTCTCGAGAGAAGCGGGTGATGGTCGGTTTGTTGGGTCTTCTAAGCATCGGTATATTTGGCATTTCAAGCAACTCCAGAATACCTTTACATTGTGCTAAAAGGGTGATGGACACTTGATATCTTGCATATTTCATACTTTTAATCATCTATTTTATGGTTACATTGATCATTTTAGTGCATTTAGAGTCTGTTTAGGTTGCATTGCATTGCATTTATGTGTGTTTCAGGTTTGGAGAAGTGCTAATGAGACTTGGAGACCAAATGAGCCTCAAAACGTTCACAAAGGAATGGAATGGTGCCAAAACCTTGAATCCCGCGGACAACCACCGCGGCTGGACGTTGACCGCGGCTGGACGTTGACCGCGGCTGGATGTTGACCGCGGCTCCACAGCTTGTTTTCGATGACAGAAGTGACCAGAGGATCCCGCGGGCTGACACCGCGGGAAGCGAAGGGCGCGGGCTTCATGAGGCTTACCGCGGGTCATCACCGCGGCTGGGAGAAGGTCGCGGTCAAGGATCGCTCAACTTGACCAGAAGATCCCGCGAGTGAAGGCCGCGGTTCTGAATGGGCGTGGCGTGATTGGGCGAGACTGCGAGCTTCTGCCGCGGTAGAGAGCTGGGCGCGGCTCTTTTCCGGAACTGATTTTACCCATCTTTTGTTGAGTCGGCCCAAAGTTGTTGGGTGGACCTAAGACGAGTTTAGCTTACTATAAATGTGTTTTTAGACCAAAAACTCCATCTTATCTTGTATTTCTCTCTCTAAACCCAAGAACTTATTGGTGAAAGATCATAACTTTTATCTTCTTTTCATCTTATTTTCATAAGTTTATTGAGTAATCTTGATCTCTAATCATGTTTAACCAAGAATTAAATTGTTGTTAGGTTAATCATGTGTATTAGTGAGTACATCCACTTTAGATTCATGGGATAGGTTGGTAAGGGTGATCAAGTGTAGATCTAAGGTGTTAGATCTTTGTGTTCCTTGTTAGTTGAGTGATTTTAATGCTTGATTAATGTTGGCCTCTTTAATCATGATAATTATACTTTAACCACCCATAAGGTGTTTGTCTAAATGTCTGAACCAACTCATCTAGCTTTAATACTACCTAGCCAATGATCATTTGTATCTAGGGAGTCTTAGATAGTTATTAAACTTAATCGTAATGATTGCTTGAATTAATTAAGCCAATGACCATTTGTGTTTGATTAATGAAAGCAAATGAGCATTTGCCTAGACCTAGGACTTGCTTAGCTTTGTGGTTTAGACTTAAGGAAACACTTGGATTGAAAGCTTGCCATTTTTTTAGATTGAACTTGTTCAGCTAAACCAAATACCTATTCCCATGAGTCTAGCCTTCACTAATTAAGAGAAATTTTGTTACTTGTTGCATTTTAAATTGTTCTTGAATAATTTGACATTCTCTAAACTGATTGCATTTAGATTAAGCAATGTCTTGCATTCTCTTTGTTCAATTGCTCTTAGGATTGGATTGACACTCTACTTTCCTTACTACATTGATTTGCTCTAAGGTGTAAAAAGCCTTATCAACACTGCAGCTTTCCAGCGATATCCATGGGGTCGGATAGGATTTAGCAGCCTTATTGATTCCATTAAAACGATCACATTTCATGGAAAGAAGAGTTACACAATCCATGGTTGTGTTCACGCCCTCCTGATATGGGTTTATGAGTTTGTCCCTGGTATAGGAGAACAATATGGGAATAGGATAGAGGGAGCTGAAGTTCCTCTTCTCTCATGGGATGGATCTCGTACCCGAATCAACTTCCCAGATTTCTGTGCTCATGAAAAAGACAGTATCAGAAGGTAATCTTCTTTGGTTGCTCTGTTTTTTTGCAAAGAAACTTACTAACCTTGTAAATTATTTTACAGGTTCGTGTGAGGCATATGGTTATGAAGCCAATGGAAGAAAGATATCCAAAGTGGGTGAATCATGAAGTCGATACTGAGCTCGACAACCTGATAAAAGACATCCTTGATGGTCAGCTAAATGAGCAGTTTTGGAATGTAACTCCAACTACCAAATTTCCCGAGAAGAGAAAATTTGGTGTTGCCTCATCTGATATTCCGAATGTCAGTCCTACTAAGCGACATAAGGGAAAAGAACCTGATCAGGGAGGTGAAGCTTTTGATATGGTATGTATAAAACCTTCCTTCAGTTAATGCTATAAACACATTTTCTATTTTTCACTGACATGGTTTGGTTTTGAATTGAAGGTCGCAGCTCACAACGTTGCTATACTTGGTTTAGTTGAGTCACTTACCAAACTCACTGAAAAAATAGAAGGCATGGATGTTAGTGTAGTTGAGAAAGTTAGTAAAACTTTAGAAGGTACCATACAAGATAAGGTGGATGCTGCAGTGGGTTCTACTAAGAATGAGTTGCTAAAGAAGATCGCAAGTTTGGAGGAAGATGTGAAGTTTTTTTAAAACAAGGCTGACGTAACCATTCCTCAAGGTGTGGCCGACTCCAACTCTGGAAATTGCAAGGCTTACGGGGATGATGATGATGCTTCTAGCAATGACTTGGTACGATCTCCTTATTCATTGTTCTATGTTTTTTTTTTTAAAAAAAATGATCACTAATGAAGTTGTTTAATACTTCAGTCATGGAAGCTTGAGAAGAAAATCAGTTCGCTTGATGGCTTACGAATTCAATGTGTTGTTAAAAAGGAAAAGAAGGAAAAGAAGACAATGGAGAAAGAGGAGGTCAAGACAAAGGAGGTGCCACTTAAAAAAGTGAAAATAGAGAAGAAGGATGAAGTGCTAAAGAATGAAGTGAAACCCGAGAAAAATGATGAAGAACCACTTAAAAAGTGAAAACCGAGAAGGATGAAGTGCCACTGAAAAAAGTGAAAACCGAAAAGAAGGATGAAGAACCACAGAAAAAAGATAAGAAGAAAGCATTTGCCATCCCTCAGTTGAATGACGAATCTATGTCGACTGAAGAGTGTGAAAATCATCTGAAATGGGAGAAGACTGAAAAGTGTAGGCAAGTGTTGGAAGCAATTGCTGCCAGTATTGAGGAGCCTACACGTAGACGTAAGCCCCAATGGACAAAGACTCAAGTCATAAGTGGTGTCACTGTTTCCAAGAAGGCGTATGACCCATTTGCTAAACCCGAGGCAGGAAAATTGCACAAGGTTTTGGACTTCATTAAGCAAGATTTGTAAGTTAGAAATCCATCTTATCATCTTTCAATCAGAGCCTCTTATTTCTATGCTTCTGATACGCTTGTTCTATGCTCTGTTTTAATGCATTGTTTTTTTTTCTTTTAGGGACCAAGAGGATATTAGCTACGGAGACAATAGCGCTAAGTTTTACTTAAAGCTAATGGTACCAAGAGAAGCGTGGCCAACACCCAAATACGGCTGGATTTGTGACTCGGTGAGTTTTCAGTATGTAAGAAGAGTATTTAGCCCTTTTCACAACCAAGCTTTTTTGAGATTTTGGTAAATATATGAAGAGTAATCGCCAAGCAGTGTATGTAGTTCTTTCCCACCAAGTCCATTTTAGCTTAGTCTATGATCACATTTATTGGGTCCAGTAGGCAGTTTCTTATTCTTGTTTGTTTAATTAAGGGCTTCACAAGATTAATGGCTTACAGATTTTAAGAAAATGGTTTTGGTTTTTGCAGCACATGGCCACAGCATTGCTCATGTTTCACAAGCGTTCCATCCTACCCACATCTCCGTATGCCTCCTCTCGAATAGCATTTCTAGATCGGTGGTTCGTCAAATCATTGGTTAATGACTACAAGAAAATGGTCAAGGAGGACAAGCCAATCGAGTTGTCAGATAAGTAAAGCAAGGCTTTCAATGGAGAATACCCAGAGCAATTTGTGACAGATAAAAAGTGGTTTATAGATGTCGACAGCTTGTTCACCTGCCACCTTATTAACGGAAACCACTGGGTGGGCTTACACATCGATTTTCCAAAGTTGACGGTCCATGTCTATGATAGTATTCCGAGTGTGGTGCCGGATGAAAGTAGTCTGCGTGAAGAGTGTAGAGCATTCACGAAAATGATCCCACTTGTGCTTAATAAGATGGTGCCTGTTAAAAAGCGAAAGAAGACTGAGAAGCATTTAGCCTTACGTAGGCACAAGAATGTCCCTCCAAACGACAACCCATGAGATTGTGGGGTGTACTCTTTGAAGTACCTAGAATGTGTGGCTCTTGGACGTACTTTTGACGGCTTATCTGATCAGATCATACCGGATCTACGTTTGAAGTGGTTTCAGTGTTATATTTTGATGGTTACTTTGATGTGTTTTTCATTGGATGGATGTATAACTTTGGAGGTTTTCTTCGGATGGCTATTTAGTAGGACGTTTAACTTGGATGGTTATTTTTGTTACTCTAGTATGTATATAGGCTCGGTTAGATGGATGATAAATTGGAAGGTTTTTCTTTGAATGGATGTATAACTTGTGTCTGATGATTTCTTATGTATATTTAGTCTCGGTTGTTCTTGTTTCAAAGTGGTTTGTGTTTCCTATATGTCATTTGTTACCAACTATATGCGACGTTATCAAACTTTCCCATCAGCTTTAAGCTAGATTGAAAATAAACCAAAGACCAAAGAATGTAAGTGAATGAAAACTCAATGTAAAACCAAGGCCAACTGGCCAACGCATGAAAATAAATGTTTACTATTGTAACAGCAAAGACAAATGACCAAAGTGTAAAAGTTTTCTATTGTAACAGCAAAGACAAATGACCAAAGTGTAAATGTAAAAACCCATGAAATCTAATAAAAACATGAAAGTAAAATAGATCAAATATCCAACACTTAAGAGGACATGTTTTTGAATTATTGCCTGTCTGGTGACAAATTCTACAAGCGTGTTCCTTGCGTGGTCGCTTCTTCTCTGCAACTTTCTCCAAAATAGATTTATGTCTAGATTTTTTTGGTCTTCCAGGAGGTTGTCGGACATCAGGTGGTAAACATATTGTCTTCGCAACATCTTCTGGAATTGGAACAGCATCATCTTTGGGCATAACAACACTGGAATAGGCGTTGTAAAGGTATTCCTTCCGATAGTAATGGTGACAAAGTGATATACATGATATCTTTCTAGCTTCCGCAGCAGCTATAGCATGAGCACATGGTAGCTTCTCCAAATCAAATCTCCGGCAAGAGCATGTCTTCTCGGTAAGATTTACAACATGTAAAGATGAGACTCCAATCACTTGTGACTGATGGATGTTGTTGGACCCGAATTTAGCCCGTTAGCTGAATTAATGGGCTCAAATAGTTAAAGCCATTAACGAGCCGTTATAAGCCTATTAGGAATTTATCCCCTAAAGAAGAACCAAATAAAATCGTTACCTATTTGTCGAATAGGAAAGTCATTAACAAAAACAGGTCACGGAGAAAGATTCTGGACCTCATTTACAAACAGCTAACAAGAAGCAGCTCGAGGAGAACGTGCGAGGCCTAGTCAAAAGGAGGCTGTTGCAAATCCCGTGGTTCGCGGAGATAATCTCGGAGGCTTCGTCGGGAGAAGTTAAACGTGACCTAGAAGCTATTTAAGAAGGAGAAGAGATCAGAGAAGGGGATCTGGAATTCATTCGACACCAAAAGATTCAGACACACTTTGTTTTTAACCATCTCTATCTATTATTGTTCTTTTGATTAGATCATCAAGATCATCTTTGTAAACCCTTATTATTACCAAAATCAATATAAGCAAACGTATTCATTCACACAAGTTCTAACAGGATTCAGCCCACGATTATCTTTTCCCAATCTAAACCTAACCTAAACTAGAGTGTGAGTTTTATCCCTCACATTTTGGCGCCGTCTGTGGGGACGAGATAATTGAATCCTTCACTCCGTAACTTGAGAATGGATCCATCCAACCAGGAAACGAGCCCATCCATCCCGGATCCCGTGATCCAGATCGACGGCTCACCGAACAGGAGAGACCCGGACCCTCAAGATCCGGAACCTCGATCCGCCGATCACCGATCCGAGCAACAGCCCCCGGCTAATGCTCAACCAAACCGAACTGGGATAGCTAACCCAAGGTCTTCCAGTGGAAACAACACCAGGGTTACTCCCCCTGAGAACCCCCAACGTCAACACGTTCCGCATCATTCGGAAGCTCAGCTATCCGAGATGCGCCGAATGATGGTGCAATTGGTAGAAAGAGCTCAGGATAATGAGTGTACGTTGGAACAGCTAACCGCCCGGCAACAACGGTTCGAAGAGGTGACTAGATCTCTAACCGAGACAACTCATCCGTCGCAACGTCAAGGCTCAGGAATCGCCTTCCGAGATCGACTCACCGAACCCACGTTCCCTCGCGGACGCCTGGACTTTTCCCCCAACAGCATTGCTCGTAATGGGCAAGAGCCTGTTCTCCGGACACCCCTTACTGGGACAACCCCAGTATTTACTCCACATATAACTAGCGCTATGGGAAGTAACATAGCGACGACCATCTCAGCACCCAGTAGGGTTCATGAACACAACACACGATTGCTGCCTCCGCCACCTATTTTTAGGTCTGGAGAAGGAATGTCTCCCCCTCCTAGGAGTAGAGCACCAACTTCAGCCTACCAAAATGGAAGCGCGACCTCTAGCCGAGACAACCCGAGGGCGGAAGCTGATCCTACAGCTCACCCCCCAGGTCGCGTCCCTCAAGGTGGCTCTAGAGCTAACGAGCAATCTAGCCCACCTAACGCTTGGGACAACGATTACACTCGACTCCATCGAGAATCCTCTCATCAGATTCCTCGCGAAGACCCAACTGTCCTTCCCCTAGAAGGACCCGAGGCTATTCGCCGATACATGGAGCAAACTCACGCAGCCCTCCAGAAGCTGAACGCTCAAGTGCATAAAGCAACGAGCTCAGCTCCCGAAATCGAGAGCTTGATTGAGGAAACCCGTGGAACCCCATTCAAAGATAAAATCGCTAGCTCTTACATAAGAGATACCCGAAAAATTAGGATTCCCGAATATGACGGGACCTCAGACCCCAAGGCTCATTTGAGAGCCTTCCGCTTAGCTATAGTAAAAGCTCATTTCACAAGAGAAGAATGCGAAGCAGGTTATTGCAGAACCTTTGCCGAGAACCTGGTCGGAACAGCTCTCGAATGGTTTTCGAGCCTCGAGCCAAACTCAATCGATAACTTCGACCAGCTCACTAACGCCTTCATGAAACAGTACTCGACCCATATCCTTAAGAAAGCCTCCGAGGCTGACCTCTGGAAGATCAGGCAAGGAATGGGGGATTCGCTGCGAATCTACATCGAGAAATCCAGAGCAGTTAGAACTAAGCTCTCGAACCCCAACGATCAAGTAGCCATCGAAGCCCTTAGAAGAGGCCTCTGGTATAAATCAGAATTCTGGTCCGGGCTAACACTTAACCCTCCTCCAACTATCGATGATGCTCTTCACAAAGCATCGAGATACATTACCTTGGAGGAAGAAACAGCTGCACTGGATAAAATCCACAAGAAATCCCAGAATCACCCGAAAGGTGAAACCTCGGATGCAAAAGGACCCTCTAGAAAAGGGAGCTCTCGAAACCATCAGACCCAGGGAGAACACTCATATGCTGTCGAGGAAGCCCAACAGGAAAGGAAAGGCTATGATGAGAACAAACACTGCTCTTATCACGATCGAAAAGGGCACTCAACCGAGGAGTGCTGGGACCTCCAACGACAGTTGGCAGCTAAATTCGTAGCTGGGGAACTAAAGGATGTGGAACTAAAAAAGCCACCTCCTTACTAGAAAAGAGGTCCCAGAAACACCTCTCCTAAACGTGAAAGATCACCTGAGAAGGAAACAGATTCGCCACCGCCAGCTCCCAAGAAAAGAGTTGACATGATTCTTGGGAAATTTCCCCAAGGGAAGAGTCTACAAATCGAGACCCTCTTAAGCAAACCTCCTCCTCAGTCGAGCCCTAGCTCGAGAGTGGATTATATCCTCGGAGGCTCCGATATATGTCAAGACTCAGTTAATTCAATCAAGAGCCATGTGCGGAAGGCTGTTTCTAGAGCTCAATCTAAGCCTTCAGACCTCGACAGACCTCACGATGACGCCTTAATCGTCACCCTGAACATAGCAGGTTACGAGGTGCCTAAGCTGATGGTTGATACCAGAAGCTCGGTCGATCTCATCTTCTATAACGCCCTGAAAGGGATGGAAATAGATGACTACGAAATTATCGGTCAGAAAGCTAACCTTGTAGGTTTCTCTAGGGAAACAATTACCTCCTTAGGAACCATCAAGCTCCCAGTCATAGCTGGGGGAATCATGAAAATGACCAATTTCGTGGTCATCGACATGCCTTCTCCATTTCATGCGATCCTAGGAAGACCCTGGATCCATAAGATGAAGGCAGTAGCTTCCACTTATCACCAATGCGTGAAATTTCCAACACTGGACGGAATAACAACCGTACGAGGTAGCCAGAAGATCTCCAGGATCTGTTACTTGGGAGGATCCAGGAAGGTCGAGAGATGCAAAAAAATATTCGAGGTCCCCCTAGGAACCTAACCGAACAAGTTAGCATCGATGACTCTGATCCCGAGAAAAAAGTGAACATCGGATCATAGCTACCTCTTGAAACGAAAAAGGAA